TATGATCCCATCTTTGACATTATTGAGCTAAATAATGGGAGTAGGATTTTCCTTCTATAATGTCCATCAAGTAAATTATTGAGATGAGCCTACACATATTGGAGATCAATAATGTGATGTAGGAAGTTGACTTGTTCTAAATAAATTAGGATGAGTACAAAAAGACATCTTTGACAAAAGATAAAATAATAGAACCCATCTTCCCATTTTTGGAGGTATTGATAGATATTTTGGACCCCAAAATAATTGGGATCAATGGGGAACCACTCCACATGATATTAGTACCTGCAAGACAAATAAAAATGGGTGAGAAGACTTACCTTGGCCGACCACCATGGAGAGGGGCTGTATAAGACTTGATAGGAATCAAATGTTGGGCCACCATCTCCATTTTTCGCACAAAATGGTGTGCTGTTTGTCTCCACTCATCATGGGAGTTATACTCGACCAAACAACGTGTATAAGGTGTCCTTGGATAGCCTTTGAAGTCTATTTTCATAATTGAGTGGTCTCTGTTCGAGAGGAGAGAGTAATCATCCAAAAATCGATCTGGAGTGAGCAGTGGTCCGTAAACTCGAGCTCTGAGAGTGCTGAAACTGTTTGGTGGATATCTCGAGTTATACCAATCCAATTAAGGCGTGTGAGATACCAAAAGAAAGCTCTCAAGACGAGGAATCCGTGAAGGTCTGTTTTGCATCAATCGGAGTAGTGGAAGGCTTCCAAATCGTCCGAGCAAAACACAACCTCGCAGAAACGGATCTACTCTTCTAAAGTGAGTTGTTAATCCCAAAACCTTTCCTTTCATTTTCCAAATGATATGAACGATTGGTGGAACTATTGTACACTAATCCAAGTGTATAATATGTCCTTGTAAAGTTATTTTATTGATGTAAAGGTTAGATACTAACCTAGAGTAAATCTTGGAAAACTAGGAAACGTGTTCACCGGAAAACACCCATTCTAGGGGCTGTTTTCGTACCAACGTTTAGGGGTTGAGCTAGCGCTTTGAAGAGGCTGTTTAACACCCATATTTGAGTAAGGAATCAGTTCCAAATCCACCTTGATCAAAGTCTTGACCATTGGACCAAGAAGGGATAGTTTAAAGCTCAATTGAGGTGAGGATGACCGACTATATTGTTTATAATTATTGGGTTAATTTCATAAGATTGCCTAAATGAATTATATGTGTTTGGCATGAGTTATTTATGATTAAGAATGCCTAAAATGGAATATAGTATTGTTCATAAAGAAAATGCATAATATACAAATTTAAGAATAAATTGTGTATGATTATGTGTTGTGATTATAATGACCCAATTGGGGTGTAAGCTATAAAATTGTATGGTGATAAATATGCTTTTACCTCATGAAGGGAATAAAAGTGATATTTTGATATTGAATCAAGTTATACTTGAATGTGAAATTAAATTGAAATGTATGAATTATTATGAAATTGGCGTTGGCTTATTAAGATTAGACGACTAGTATTGAAGACTAGTCGGGGATGTTAGTTCAATAGTGCTTGGGAGCTAATCCCAAAATATTGAAGCTAAGTAACCTTAAAGGATAATTAGGGTGGACTTTACGAAGTCAAGTTATGTTAGGAGTAGACCTCAAGGGTTACTCAAAAGGAATGGAGCCTAGACTAAGAAGTGGTTTAGGGATTAGATGACGTGACTACGAGCCGAGCTCTAGCACGTGGTAGTATGACTATGAGCCGAGCTCTAGCAAAAATGTAGGAATGACTATGAGCCGAGCTCTAGCAAAATGTAGTGTGACTATGAGCCGAGCTCTAGCACAAAAATGTAGGAATGACTATGAGCCGAGCTCTAGCGAAATGTGGTGTGACTATGAGCCGAGCTCTAGCACAAATTAACATGACTATGAGCCGAGCTCTAGCATGAAGGAACATAAATTAATTTCAAATAGTAACATCCTAAGTTGAGGGTCTTGGAAATTGAAACTTTGATTATACTTAGTATAGTTGTCATTGTACTTGTCAAATGCTTCCAAGTACTGACCTCCCCTTCACGGGGGAGGCCACCTCACAGTTTCAGGTCGGGATTAAAGCTTGCCGCTACCGCCGTTGTATCGGAGAATTCAAGAGAAGAAGACGTGGTTCGTGCTTCTTCTGTTTCTGTTTTGAAAACGATTTAAACCATGCTCATGGATATTATTTTTCTTTAATATGTATTTAGGGCTTGTATGCCCATGTTGCCAAAGTGTGGCGTGCACTTTGTATTGAACATTTCCGCTGCTTTAAATGATTATTTTACATTATGTTGTTTATGGATGTTCTATGTGTGAATGGTATTCAAGACGCCTAGTATAGTATGGATGAGTTGGACTGCGGTTGACTATTCGTACTGTACGGCGGGTTGTTGACGTGTCCGGTAGGTCCGGGGCGTGACAAGGCAAGACAAGAAAATTTTAACTTCTATGGTACCTTTATAAATTGGAAGGTACGGAACAATTGAGTGCGTGGGCGAATAACATTAGAACACATGGAAATCATCAAACATTATGCATATATGACATGAAATCTAATTTTACTCAAATTTCAATGAATTGCACTTAGGTCCTTCTGTTAGTCGTTTCTCTTTGACAGCTTAAGGTTATTTTCAGTTTTTTCACACGAATAGAATGGAGGCACACCAGAGGCGTAAAATATATGGTACACCCGGCTGTACCTTCCTCTTGGTACAGCCAGGTAATTTTGTAATAAAGTGCAACTATTATCCTCTTCCGCAGGCACTTCTTCGCTCCATCCTCTTTTTCTTACGCAGACATGCATCCTCCATCTTTTCTTTTTTCTTTCTTTTCTTCCGCCGCATCTATCCTCTTTCACTCCATCTTTTCTTCTGTCATCCATTCATTGTTACTTCGTACCTTTTAGTTGTCTTTTCTATTTTCAATTTTTTATATACTTTTACTGCTAGCTACTCTATATCTGGTTTTACTTTATTGATTGTTAATAAGATTGTAAAAATCAAATCCGACCCTAACCCGACTTGAGTCAGTATTACCTTACACGAATCGCGGTTCCTGGATTCGTTTGCCTACCTTTGTTTGCAAACATACCCTTAAATCCACTTTTAAACGCTATAGTATAGTTTTAGTTGGGCTGAAATTTTAATGAAAATATGGTGCTAATTTTTCCCGCTTTACATGTGTTACATTAGGGTCCACAAAAGGTAACATTGGTTGAACAAATGTAACATATTATTAAATAGTATATCAGCGTTACAATAGAACCATAGTAAATGCAACACTTTTGATATAGATGTAACAAAACGTTGAAAACTATTACATTAGACTCGTTTTTTGTAATGCTTTAGACAAATGTTACAATTTTTTTGTTACATTAGACCTTAAAATGTAGTAGTGTAACTTCTTTCTCTTTACTTCTTTTGATTTGTCTTTTTTTTTTTTCTTCTTTTCGTTTCTTTATTGATGGTTTACTTCTTTCTTTTTACTTCATTTGATTTGTCTTTTTTTCTTCTTCTTTTCGTTTCTTTATTTATTGTTTACTTCTTTCTTTTTCTTTTTATATATATATATATATATATATATATATATATATATATATATATATATATATATATATATTAAGCACATTAGAAATGAGTTTTACCTTAAACTCAAATGAGTAAAACGCTTAAAAATGAACATGCACTGATGAGTTTTTGAATTTTTCAATACTCATTTTGTAAATTATGTATGTTCATTTACTATCTCTGTTATGTTCATTTTTAAAATGTTTTAGCAATGCACATTGCAAAAGTCTCATATTACATTAGATTTATATAAGAGTTGATTATAGACACGAGACCACAAATCATTATACTCAATCGCAGATTCTAATACTCAATAACGGGGATTTAATGCTCACAAAAAATGTCTTGTTGCACAACGAATAAATATTACAATTTTCATATAACTACTCATCTTGCAAGTTACACATGCTCATTTGTATAGGTCTAATGCTCATTAATAGTTCATTAATGCTCATTTAATAGAAATCATGATTTTCATCGATCTCAATAGAGAAGTTTTGATGCTGAATGAAAATGTTGTGATGTTTAACCAACAAAGCAACTAACAAATTCATTAATACTCATGTTGTAAGTTACATATGCTCATCTGATACTCATTTTATGATCATTTTCTAAATGTCATATCAATGCATTTTTTAAAAGTATTATTTTATGATAGACTCCTAATACTCAACATAATAGGTTTGACGCTCATTAAAAGTTCATTATTGCTCATTCACAAGATACTATGATTTTCATCTCACTAGCAGATGTTTGATGCTCAATTAAAATGTCGTGATATTTAACTAACAAACCTTATGATAAAAAATAACGAAAAGAAAGTGAATTAGAAGTTTGTAAAGCAGAGATCACGATTCTGAATATTAGACTCCTAATACTCAATAGAATAGTTAGGGTGCTCATTAAAAGTTCATTATTACTCATTCTCCAGAAGTCGTGATTTTCATCAAAATAGTTGAGCTTTGATGCTCATTTAAAATGTCATGATGTTCAACTAACAAACCTTACGATTTTCATATCAACGTGCACTTTGTTAGTTATGTATGCTCATTCGATACTAATGTTATGCTCATTTTTAAAATGTCATATCAATGCATATTTCAAAAGTATCATATTACATTAGACTCGCATATTGAAATTAATAGGAGTGAATTTTAGATATAATTTAATACGGAGTAAGTTTTTATAGCAGAAAAAATAGAAGATATGAAGCAGAGATCGTGATACTCATTATTAGTCTCATAATACTCAATACAATATGTGAGATGCTCAACAAAATTACAATATTGCTCATTACGCGGGAGCTATTATTTTTCGGTTAAATTACAAAACTGCCACCGAAAAAAATAGGCTGTTTTAACTAAATGGACTGTCTTTATTTTAATTGGGCTTTTTTATGGGCCTTACGTGAGATTCATTTAATTCTATTCAAACTGGGTTATTAAAAGCTATGAATAAAAACGGATGTACTGTTCTCACCGGTACATCTCCGTGTAGGATATACGTACTCCACCAGAAGCGATGGAACGCTGGCGGAGTAAAATTAAAGATTTGAGGCGGTGAGGTTTTAAGGCTGAATATCTCATAGATGTGTTGCTTTCTTCTCGGAGAAGATGGGCCGCAAGAGACGGTGATAGACTGATAGCGCCACATACGACTGTGGAGAGTGGCTGCCAGAGACAGTGTGGTTTGTCATCGTGCCGACTGCCGCCCACTTCTGTTCTTGGTGAAGGTGTTTTCTCGGCCCCTCCATTTTTAAGATCATAAAAATTTCCGCATATCACAAGTAGTGAAAACTATTTTCGTGGCTGGCTTCCTTTAGGCTATTCGTTTCCCCTTCTAGGTGTGCTAGACTATGATTCCTAAGGGATCCGTATTACTTAGGATATGGAGCAAGTGTTCCCTTGGTCCAATTTCTGTATGCATAGAGTTTTTTCATTGCCTGCTTCTTACTTACCGAGATTCTTCTTGTTTCATTTGTCAACAATTTTCCTTCAATGATATCCACAGGAGGCCATATGTGAACTCTTTATTTTACGAAGAGTGAAAAGCAGAAATATGTTATTATGTGTATTTGGCTCCACTTTTATTCTCCAAAAATACACATTATTGCTACTGCTTTCTTAATATATAGTTAATGCATCAGTCATTTGAGGTCTTTTCAACTTCATCATTTGAGGAATAAACTTCATCATGCCATTTAAAATAGGAAAGAGTTAGAGGTGTTGGTTCGGCTGAAGAATTTGCATCAACAAAGTGTAGTATAAATTAGAAGAGCTTGTTTTCTTGTTTAATAAGTCGGTGTAATTCATCAATTGAGCTGACAAGCAAGCCTGTGCCTGTTTGTTTGGACTTCAAAGTGTTTCCACTAGGCTGTGAGTGCTATGAAGATGTTTGATTGTCTTTGCATCACTTTGCTTTCACGACCTTGTGTTCCCAGTGACTGCTTTGAGTTTGTTTTTTATGCAGCAACCATGGTTGTGAAGCTCCTCCTTAATAATCATGCTGGTTTTAAGCTCCTCCTTAATAATCATGCTGGTTTTAAGCTCCTCCTTAATAATCATGCTGGTTTTAAGCTCCTCCTTAATAATCATGCTGGTTTTAAGCTCCTCCTTAATAATCATGGTTGTGAAGAAAGAAATACATACTTATTTTCTGTGCATGTGTCCTCTATATCCAAATTTCCAATGGCAAGTTATATTGTGAATCCTCGAGGAGTCTGAAATGCAAGCCAAGAAGTTGTCAAACATGAGCTTTGGTTCTTCTGCCAGACCAACTACTTTAAAGCAGCAATAACCATTTCCTCAACTTGTGAAGGCTGGCGGCTGGCAATTACGGGCCAACTCTCAAAATATCCTTCTAGGAAGAACTTACTAAATAAATCAAAGTGCTAAAATTAAGATACAATGATTATTTTCACATTTTGTAAAATGTTATTTTTTTAAATATTTACATCTTTGAATAGTTTTGAATCACTTGTGGTGACGTAACATGGCTACAAATACCTTAAAGATGGCAAGAATATTTGGAAGATGTTAATGTTTGCAAAATATAATGTTATAACTACTTTTCATCACTTCAAATGAAATAAAATACATGAAAGATGTAAACATAATTATGAGATCTTAATTTTACAGTTCATTTTATTTAAGAAAATATCTGAGTCTGGAAAACTATTAAAGATGGCAAGAATATTTGGAAGATGTTAATGTTTGCAAAATATAATGTTATAACTACTTTTCATCACTTCAAATGAAATAAAATACATGAAAGATGTAAACATAATTATGAGATCTTAATTTTACAGTTCATTTTATTTAAGAAAATATCTGAGTCTGGAAAACTATTCTAATCGGGTCTTTTGATTTTTACTACCTCCGTCCCACTAAGATTGGGACGAGAGAATGTGACACGAATATTAAGAAAAGTGAGTTTGTGTGATTACCATTAAATTGATAAAGTAAGAATAAAGTAAGAATGATTTAGAGTCACACAATCTTTACCAAATTTGGTATGGGACAATCTTAATGGGACTTCCGGAAAAGGTAAAATAGGACAATTTTAGCGGGACGGAGGGAGCATAAACTAAAAATTTGTTTAGAATTAAATTGGTTGACCGGTTGAGTCTAGCTTTCACGTTATACGTAGGGATGACAATGGGGCAGATCAATGACGATTTTACATATAGAGCCCGTTTGGTGATTCCTTTTTTCGGCTTATCAGGCTTATCAACCAGCTTTTTCACCTAACACGTAACTTTTGATTTCGTGCTTTGAATTTTGTAATAAGCAGAAAAACTAAGGTTAGAGTTACTTTTATGGTTGTATTGGCTGAAGTTACTGTAGAGGATCATTTTAGCTATTTTCCATTTAATATTTTTTTTAATTTATTAATAAAAAATATTTTAATTTTTTTTCGTGAATCAGCCAATACAGTCACTTTAGCCATAACTTCATAAATTTCAGCAGAATCTGCCAATTCAACCAATTTTAGTGTTACCAAACGGGCTCATAATCGTACCCGCCATATTGGGTAATTTGCCCACCCCGTAGACCGTAACCGCCTCATTATCCAACATATAATTTTTACTCAAATCACAACCGCTCCAATGGGTAACGAATATAACCACAAGTAATTACTTTATTAAATGAGTCATTGATTATTTAATACGGAGTATAAATGAATGGAGCAGGTAACGGGTATAACCTGTTACTCAGTCGATGCGGTTTTCTCTATTTTGATCGGAACGGTACGGTGCGGGTGTCTAACGGATCGGTCACAATTGTAATCCCTAGTTAGCTAGTTATATGTCTTCAAATTTTGTAAAACTTTATATATGACATATTGGTGTCATATGAAAGGTAATACAAAATTATGAAATTTGATATAGATTTTATAAAATTTGGAATGAAAACACAAAAGTTATAGCAATTTAGGGAAAATGGAGATTTTTTTTTAACATAATCCACACTTTCTCTCTCCTACGTGTGGCATCCTACATTCCTACGCATGATGGTCATTTCCTTTGGCTCCTGTCCTTTCCGTATTATAAAGGTAAGCTGACTCTAGTTTAGCCCAACAGCATTTTCGTATATACTTTTAATTCAACCATAATTTGATAAATAATTGTTTTTTCAGCATTAATTAGAAAAAAAACTCGTAATAAACATCTTTTTTTCCCCAAAAGGCAGAAAAGTCAGTTTCTTTTTCATTTCCGGTTTACAACCTATCTGAAGTTCTTAGCAATTCTACAAATATGACACAAGGAAGATCAGTAAGGAATTCCTATCTTATCCCCCAGAAAAAATGTGCATTTGAATCTATCTACATACATGAAAGCACTTAATATCATTACTGGCTGAAGTGACAAAAAAGATATAATGCCTGCCCTTGTACAAGTTTCACTTTCATGTACTACATTTTCAGTCCTCTGTCAATCTATGTTGATTTCGTAAAGATCTGAGAGCAGTTTAGTAGTAGGGGAAATATCTTGGGTGTCTTCCCTTGAAGGGAATGAATGTGAGGAACCCGTCCACGGGGCTCCAAGTGAAACGCTTCTCTGAAAATGGCTAGTAGTGTCTTGGGAGATTGTTGTAGATGAAGTATGTGTGTGGCTGTCATGGGACAGTTTCTCCAAGGCTTTAAACCTAGGATCACCATTTGACTTTGCAGGCTTGATTGCAGCTGGAGCTTGCACTGCCATCTTTCCATCAAGCATTTTAACTACTGAAGACATGGATGGCCTGAGAGTTGGTGATGGATTGGCACATAAAAGGGCCAACTTTAGCATCCTCATTGCTTCTTTTTTAGAATAGTTTGAACCCAGACTTTCATCCACAAGATCTAACAGATTTCCCTGTTCTTCTAGGACATAGGCCTTCATTTTTACAAATAAAAGGAATATTGTCAAAAAAGCTGTATAATTGGAAAAAGAAAGGGGGAAAAGGAACTATGAGTCTATGAGCCAGTTTGGGATGCCTAAATGGGATTATTAGCCCAAAAACTTGCAAAAAAAGACTAAACACTGCATTTTCAACAAACAACTGAGATTTTCTCCTTTTTAATCTGATTTTTTATTATTACAATGAAATGAAAATTCTGTCATATTTTTATTGTTTTGCCCCATGCAAAAATCACTGCATATCTTTTCAGGTAATTAAACATTCAAACTCTCCAGATACTTTTAATTAACACTATTCAGTCAATTCAGCTATTAACAAAGGGGCTCTAAGTTTGAGAGCCATATATGGGCTTACCCAATCAAGAAGGTAGACAAAGTCCTCTTTTGGTCTGTAATTCGTGTTACTTTTCCCACTGACAATCTCCAACGCAACTATTCCAAAGCTGTAAACATCTGCTTTGTCTGTCAAATACCCCCTCATTGCGTATTCTGGAGCCATATAACCTCTGAAATACAAGGTCAGATGAATAAGAGGGTGAGTTCTTTTTTGGAACACAGAAATACAGGAGAATGAAAAGAGGCAATAAAGAGTAAAATTAGTAGGAAAGGACATTTGGTAGGAACATATGTTGAAACTCAATGTCCTTGTTTATATCTAACTCCATACGTAAATCGCTAAGATATTCTAAGTATATAGGCAAAGAGGTTTTACATTGTTCCCGCAATTCGCGTGCTAATGTGGGTATTCTCTTCTTCATCAAGCCTAGCCAAACCAAAGTCTGAAATTTTAGCACTTAGATCTTTATCAAGTAACACATTGGAGGCCTTAATATCTCGATGGACGATCTTCAACCTCGATTCCTCATGAAGGTATGCCAACCCCTTGGCTATTCCCCGGCATATTTTCTTCCTAGTTTCCCAGTCTAGTCTCAACCTCTGATCCTCGCGCCCTATGTTAGAAAACAAATAATCAGCAAGAAAAATGGAGTGGATATCTTTGAATTACTTTGATAAAGAGAGCCTGTGGCTTTACCAAAAAGGGCCCGAGAAAGAGAGTTGTTTTCCATGTATTCATATACTAGCAATAACTGGTTTCCTTCTATGCAACAACCGTAAAGTTTCACTAGGTTTGGATGTTGCAAAGCTGTTATCATTCCTATCTCATTGAGGAACTCCTTGTTTCCTTGCTTTGATTTGGAAGAGAGTTGCTTGATGGCAACAATTCCACCATCTGAAAGAATACCCTGCAATCAAATGTCATGGTCAATCTATCCATGATTCAAAAGAAATATGGTTACCCAAAGTTGTATCAACCAACATGGTCATATGACTAAGCAAGTGAGATCATTAGTGTCAAATAAGACACTTTATAAGAGTTTTGGTTCTTTATAGCCCAAATATATAAAGAAGAGTATTTCAGCTGTAAAATTGATCTTTTCTCTCTCGAAGGCAAGTTGAGTATAATCAGTATATACCTTGTATACTGGACCAAATCCTCCTTCTCCAATTTTATTAGCCAGGTCAAAGTTATTTGTGGCAGCCTTAACCTGTCTTAGAGTGAAATAGCCTGTCTGTAGATCAAGTGTTCTCAATTCTGTCACAGATAAACAGCTGATTAGTAGAACTGTCAGAAAAAACTAAAAAAAAATATACAATTATCAAGAAAATCTGACTTTAAACTTTTCCCTATTCTAACATATGCTTAGGAATTGGACAAAATATTTCATTCATTTTTATTGGGAAACCATTGAATGAAAATAGAAAAAGTGACCAAGGGACATTCTAGTTACCTATTTGGTAGAACGTGCATTTGTATGTATTTTTTGCAAGTATATGCTACTATGCTAAATTAGTAAAAACATTATAGTTAAGTTGGGGATTTGTTTCAGTAATTAACTTTTTTTTTACAAATGGAGCAGTCTATACATTTCTGAGGTGGGTATTACCATTGTCTGCTTCAACTTTCCCCCCCAAGTACCCTCTCATCCTCAGAGCAAATATGATTAACAGCACGAACACAAAACAAGAAATAACGATGCCAGCTATTGCTCCAGCACCTAAACTTTTATTGGTCTTGAGGTCTACATGAAAGAAGATGAGTTTGCTCAGAATCTATTGTGAGAAAAGCAAGAAGCATATGGACACTGAGATAGTACTAACTTGAAGTGATTGTAATGGCAGAAATCAAAGGTCCATATACACTTCTCATAGGAATAGCATTAGTTCCTTTTCCAGTCCAATATAAGTGTATCTCTAGGCTGCTACCATTGACAAGAACATTGTCAAAATCTCGATATGTTCCAATCCCAGCGCCCTTTGCTTCCGCCACAATGTTAAAGTCTGTCAAGACTACATTACCCTGCAAAAGAGTTGAGAAGGCCAAATTAGCATAGTTTCTTGAAAGACATGCTTTTAGTCCATACAATAAGACACTTTTCGTTTTAGATTCCTTGAATTTTTTCTTTTTCTTTTTTGCTTTTCACCCCTGCTATATATGCTATTTTAAATTTGAGAAATAGTCTAAATAGGTCCTCCTAATATTTCAAATCTGTCACTTTAACCCCTTTATTAACAAAAGTATTCCCTCCGTCGCGCTAAGATTGTCACATATTTCCTTATCGGTCTGTTCCACTAAGATTGACCCATACCATATTTAGTAAAATTTGTGTGGTTCTAAATCATTATTACTTTTTTCTTTCTTTATCA